GAGATGTCTTGCGATGTCTTGCATCTGACATTACTGTCAGAGAAGCTAATTTGTCTAGTTCAAAGAAAGAAGCCACAGAAAGAAATGAATAAATAATAAGATAATACTTATTTGTACAGATTTAATGGAATAAACTTTCAATATCATTTAGTGAAACTATCACATTTGGTTTTAGTTAACTAACTTAACAAACTTGTTTAAGTTTGAAGGGTATGAAGTGAAATAAGTTAGGATGCGACTAGGCTAGTAACGTCAGCTGAGGTAGGGGACGAAAAGCATTTGTTGTAGAATATTTTTTGAAAAATGCTGTCATGCCTCTCCCGGCTCTGCTGAAACCACTGCTCCTCACGCCATTGCAAACCCCAACTCCCAGAATCCTCTGGGAGGTCACCTGACTTCAGACTTAGTACCATCCACCTATCCATGCTCTGCCTCCCCTGATTACTGATTTCCACCAGCTGTATCTCAGCCCCTATAACCTGTCTGTGTTCACACTCGCATTGCGTCAGCCTGCTGTACATCACCATGCAGTTTAGTTATCTTGGTTTTCCTGCTTTGTGACTTTGCTTAGCTTTTTTGTTCACGACTTCTGCCAGACCATTTTGACTCTGTTTTGCCTTGTTCGTGTTTTACCTTTTTGCCTGTTTTTTGACTCTGTTTTTGTCCTTTGTTCTTGCCTTTACATGCCTGTTAGCCTGTGTTTGATCTTAGCCTGTTTTTGAATTCTGTTACTGGTTTGCCCCTTTATCAAACCAACAGCCCACTCTGCTCACATCTGATCCTTCCAGACACCTCACAAATGCCTTATAAATTCAGTGATCAAATTTGATAAAAATAACAGTAACCACATGTTGCCTAACGTTAACATAAGAACTACAAGTAGCTAACAACAATTATTATACAAGAATTACAATACACGTTTTAAACAGTGTAAGTTTTGCACTGTGATATGTGATGTTTCTATTTATTTGTTTTTTCTTTAATATGTTTTTCTTTTTTGATGAGTTTAATTAAGTTGAATTGGTTTAATTTTAAAATGAGCATCATCCCTGTTTTTAACTTTCACTAATCGCTGTTGTCGGAAGAAAATCTCGTATCTCCATTTTTGACATTTTTCAGTTTTTGACATAATGTGAAAATACTTGTTGGCCTTTACATTGTATGTAAATTTCATGATGAATGGCCCAAAAGAAATGACCTAAAATGACTTGGAAAAACATCTGGTTCCACTGACTTACATCAGAAGTAAAGTATGTTTTTTCCTTTTCCTGTAAAGTTAACATGTTGGAGATATGAGGTTTTCTTCCGACAACAGCCTAATGCATGTTAATACTACAAATATTGATAGCTACGTCTACTGGTACACTGGAGAAATGAACAGTAATAAAGCAGAGTGGAAAGGGCTGAAAGATGATCACAACATGTATCTGACGAGAGGAGACTACAAAGAACCTTCTACATTACCCCCTCCTCCCTCTAGTGCCACAGTTTATCACATCAGACTAGCCCTTAGCCTGCAGGAGAACAGACCAAACATTATAGCCCTACTGCATGACACTTCAGATTCCATACACATCAACCCACAAACAACATACACTCACAAACACAGAGGTAAAAACATACCTGCAAACACAACGACATGACAGGGCAACTTACCAATTCCCACATGACCACCCCCCACAATCACACAGACATATGAGCAATTCTGAATGCAATTCTGCATTTTCAAAACAAACACACGGTACTACTGAAGCACTACACGACTTGAAAATGAAATAAACACATAAAAATCAGGCTGAGACAGACGTCACATTACAAAACCCATTTCGGAGAGAAAACTGTCAGCCAAAAATAATTTCTGCTTTAATACACGTTTTGCTGACATTCCATCTCCCAACATTATAAGACAGGCTATTTCATCTCAGAGAGGCACATTCACTTACACTCAACAACATGCTTTACGTTGGCATGACAGCACATACGAGGTGTACCGATATAGATTTCTGGGCTGATAATGCTAACCTATAATTGGAGGAATGGTTACAAAAACAAATTTATACTAATTTCCACTCACCCCAGATGCAGTCGATCAGCCAAGACATGTTTGATGTCTAAATTTTGCTTCTTTGGTTCAGAGCTGGAGCTACGAGGCTATCGTTGCTAACACTAGAAGTTCAGGTTGAGAGAAGTTTTTCAAGATGTATTGACAGAAAAGGTTTTGGGTGACTACTGACTTCTAGTGTTAGCAACGTTAGCCTGGTAGCTCCAGCTCTGAACCATTAAGGTCTCACAGACTTGTCAATGTGTTTTAGGATGCGGAATGACTTACTGTGAACTATAAAAATGAACAAAACTTGACTGTGTAGCTGAATGTAGCGAGCAGCAATTTTAGACAATGTGCAGCTCCCCCACAGAGGTCCTCCCTTCATGTGCTTACAATGTCTGTCGTTTCTATTTTTAATTAACTATTAATGTTAAATTTCCCAACGGAGACCGCAAAAGTTGTGGCGCCCCTGGTCAAATAGCGCGTTCTGTTGATGTTGAAGTGAAAATAAGTAAACACATCTTCTACAGAGAACACCCTTCTGCACATTTTATTTACTGCACTCTTAAAACAGATGTGTTAAAAACAACACATTGTGTCCTTAAAGCCAGACGTACAGTACACGACATTTACCCTGATTTTAGCCCCGGTTTTCAGTCTGGGTGAGTCTGTGCTGGTTGGCCCTAGTCTGCAGATTTTGGGGCAGTCGGAGTCGACAGTTTAAAGAGAAAATCAAATCACTGTGTGAGCGGCACAGACTCAAACTCTTTGCCTCCCAATCGCATTTCAGACCAGCTGAAGTATCAAACGTTTTATTTTTTAGGCCCAATAAAAAAGGGTGTATTCTACTAAAGCATACTGGTCAGCAGCTCCATCTGAAGGGACTCCTTTAATAGCCAATGAAAACTTGGAGCACAAAAAAAGTAAATACAGCAAGTAAAAAAAGAAAAATGGCGAAAAGACACATGTAGCAAAGCTTTTTAATGAACTGAGTTTAAGGCACAAGCACAACAGAGTGCACGTACATATAACACTAAAAACCACCACACTAATCACTCTCACTTAAATACATTCACATGTTGCTTCTTTACTGTGCCGGCACGAACAGTAGTGAAAGCACTGGCAGCAGGAAGCCGCTTCATGCTTGCTCATTTGCAATTATTATATTTCAGTCACCAAAACCATCATATCCAAACCATGTCCAGTCTTTTTTATAATCTGTTAGGACTTTAAAAGTTGTGTTGTGTGTAACAAGATACATCAGTGTGTTCAGTAGAGGACAACACATTCTAAGTTACCTTTAAGAGTGCATCTATTTGCTGAGTTGTAACATATTGGGGAAAAAATAACACATGAAATGTGGGCTGTGCAAAAGTTATGGCATATCTGTCTTTTTGTTTCTTTTTTTTTAATATGTTAAACTCAAATAAATCAAAATTCTGCATTTTCCCTGTATAGCATGGGTGTCAAACTCAACCACCAAAAGGGCCACAGTAAAAAATCTCAACAAATTCATGGGCCAGTAAACATTTTTTCATTTTCAATAAACTTTTTGCTATATACCGAACTGACTGAACTGATGATAAGCACTTGTAGTAGACCTTGAAATATTACATGAGTACTTGGAAATATTGAAAACTTAAATGTCCCCAGCAGCTCAGTCTTTTAAACTTATGTATTTGCTTGAACTGGACACCTCGCATCCTTTCTTTGCTGCAAGTTAAATTAATTCTTTTGCTCAGTTTCTGAGCTGCAAGCTAGTGTTAAGTGTTTACACTGGCAGAACTGCAGTTAGTTGTCTGGTGATATGACTGCTGTTGGGGTAGGAGAGTCGGAGCACACATTACATCGCAGTACATACTGGGGACTGCAGCGCATTGTAAAACAAGCTAACATTAACAGAAAATTTAAATACTTTTGCAGGCCGGATAGGATTGCGGTGCGGGCCCGAACTGGCCTTATGTTTTGACAAAGCAATGAGCCTGGGGGTCGTTTAAACTTTTGCATTCGACAGTATGTTCATAAAAAGAAACAACAGAATAGTGAATGTAAGCTATGTCTGCGTAGGGGAAGCAGAGCTGGATTCTGTGAGTCAGACTGTGGTGGTGTTATCTACTACGAGTTGCAAAAATGGAAAATCCAACCATACATGACTTTACATGTGTAAATGTGTGTGCAAGCTAAATTACTGATTGGTTTTCTATATTTTGGTATTTTCCACAAGGCTGATATCTGCAGACCTAAGATAATAACAGAATATAGATAACAACAACTAAATGTGCCACTGATAGGTTGTGCATCCATATCTCATACAAAATGCTTCCTTGGATGTTGCTGAGGTTGCTCAAAAGACTTTAGCTCTCATGAGTTCTGCAAGTCATATCTAGATCTGCTACCGTTTCACTGTGGAAATGAGCGGGGTTGAATCTGACTGGCTCCAGATTTTAATGCCTGGACAGCAGAATCCTAAGAGGCCTAACTGACAGCACCGAAATCCTCCCTACTGTTTAGTGACTTCAGCAGTGTACGTGCCTTAAAGGTCAGTTATTGCTGCTGGGAACCTCAAGGCAATGACACTATCCTCCCTCCAAAATCAGAACATGGTGTCAATTCATTTAGTGGGACTGCCTGAGCAGCAGAAGTTAGCCTGAAGACAGCCAATAAAATAAGGCCTGTTTGGCTCATTCACCATTTGGAAACAGGAGTTTGTCTGAGACGGCTGTCAGAAACAAAGTGCTTGTAAGCAAGTGTAGGCCAATTATTCTAATAAATACAGTATAAGATAAAGAAAAGTGCAAAACTTTCACTTGCTACTTTAAAGGCTAAAACGAGCTCGGCCTAATGCATTATGCATGCATACTCATCACACAAGCACACACGCTTTGGACATGAATAATGTTAATATGAACCTTCTTTTGATACAGTAAAAAAGATATTTAAAGTAAAGCATGCCTGCCTGAAAAAGGTCACAAAGAACTGGACCAGGTCCATGATGCTGCTGTGCTGGGAGAAGGTAATCTGCAACAAAAAAAGAACACAAGAAACATGGACAAGCAGTAGCAAATGTCATCAGTGTACCATTAAACCAGCACTAAATTGTGTTATTTAAAGGTTTTCCAGACACAAAATTGAACAAATAAATAAGAAAAAGCGTGCATGTTGTAGAACTGTCTTAAAACACTTAAATGAGCACGTCAGCCTAAAACTGGAGTTTAATATGTTACTTGTCATGTTATTCATTATTCTTTAAAACACCACTGTATCCCTCAGTTTGACAGACTTTATGATTTTACATCATTTTCATGTTTTCATCCATCAGTGTTCTCTTACTACAACACCCAGCATGCATTATCCAAATACATCACACAACCCCTGGGAATCCCTGTGGTGTCAAACAATCCTGACTCCTAGCCTAATCACTGATCTAATAAGGCTAATAAACAGAACCAAGCAAGCAGACACGTTTACAAAACAGTGAAGGACAAATGTTTCCTTTTATCAGCAGAAGTTGCCCACATTTGTTCACAATGGGACTGTAAGGCATTAATGTGCTCTGAATTAAACGAGTCAAATTTTCTGTAAACCTTGTGGTGCATAATAATCATTCCTATTTAAAACTGATTTACCCAGAATATGAGTACGCTCGAATTTACAGCACAGGGATTTCCAAAAACAAGCAAGTTTTATTTCCTAATAAAAAAAAAAACAATAGAAACTATTCACTCATATCTGGAAGACAGCATTTTACATTCAATCTGCAGCGTTCCCTCCTAAAACAATAAAACACTGAAGCTCTCCGGAAACAAGCTTCAAATGTATCTTTGGAGGAGCAGCAATGTAATGATAATTAACGCTTGAGTGGATTAAAACACCTACGTGACAAAACTTGAATAAGCTCACCTCTGAAAATCACTCAGGAAGCAAGCAGTGAGGCTTTCTAAATCTAGAACAGAGTGGCGCCAAAAGGCTTTGGCAATGCAAACTACCATAGTTAATTCATTATAACATTACATAACCTGTTCAAATACATAACAAGGTAGCATTTGCAACTGATGTAATTCTGTAGATTAATATCTCTGTCTCTTATATAAGGTGTATAGACACAATGGCCTGTTATGTAAAACGGTCTTTATTTCTGCTACTGCAAAGTGCTGAAGCAGTAGCACCATATGCTGCTGCCCATTTTCAGATTAGTTTAGGTGCCTGACCAAATGAGTTCACAATTCAAAAGAGACCACTCTATTCAATTGCTTATGAGAATCCAATAAGCAATTCTCATGGCTAAGACTATCTAAATCCAAATCTACAGTCCAGGCCCTTTCAAAAATAATCGACTATCTGATCAAACAAAATGTCATATTCTGATTGATTTGTAAATGCCAGATGTTATCAGTGTGATTTTTTTTTTCTTGAGAGGTAACACGATTTTAAAGTTCATGTTACACAATCTGTTTCCTAGTCTGAAAGCTTTGAAGCATTCTTGATGGACGAAATGCTGTTAACAACTTCCAAACCAGTAAGAACTTTACAGCCACTCTTACGCTGGTGTTCCAATTTCTGCATAATTAAATGGTTAAGATGTAAACAAAGACAGTCAGAGTGGTTTGATGTAAAACACTGAAAAACAAGTCAGAATTATTCACAGTGGTGTTGATAGGAACCAGACATCTGCAGTCTTTAATGGCTCTAAAAGCTCCCTCACAGGAAGTCATGATGTGAAAATGAAACTTTGGTCTGCAGCCAAAGCCAAGCCCGACCCAGGCTGGCCAGGAACAGTTTATCATGTTTGGAGTCCGATCCTGAGTACAACAAAATTTTCTCAGAAACTGACCTGAAGAGGCCCACCATCGCCCAAAGTGCAGAATAAAACCTGACAGGACAGCACCGGTTACCATGTAGTGGCATTAACAGACGTCATTAGACATCAACAGCAGTTAAATATAAAACCATTTAAAATAAGCTATAATAAAATAATCTGCTGTCCAAAGTATAAATTCAGCTCAGACAAATTTTATGCTTTTGAACAGCATCTCAAATGTGTTTATTCTGGATACAATTTCCATAGAAAGCTGTTCTCACGCTGTGTGGTGCTGTTTCACTGTATTAATCTTAGTACACTTATTCTGCATACAGAACATGTTACATAGAACACACCGTACACACAGCAATCAAGTCAAACAAACTACATGTCCTTTTTGCAACACTAAACTATATTTTCCTGAATCAAGTCTCTGTTTATGTCCTGTTTTGTCATGAACATAGGCCTCATGGACCTCGGTGCTTGGTGGATGACTCCAGTGTGCCAAATTAAAAAATGATTTAAGGTAGCAAAAGTAGTGAAGAATAAAGTAGAGAGTAAAACTAAAGCAGGTGAAATGCAGGTAAAATCTGTTAGACGTGTGAAGGCTGTAAGTACATGAATATGAAATTTGAACCTGACCCGAGTCCAACATGAGCAGTGGGGCAGTGTACGAAACACCCCCTGGTATTCGGGGGTCCCATGTTGGCTGGCTGTTAAACTCACTCGCCATAACGGCGCTGATGCTTCAAGGGCAACAGAAATGTGTGGTTTAACAGCTCCTCTTTTAGAAATGCTCTTTTCTAGTTTGGTAATGCGCTCTTCAACACATTCATTGAGATCTTACACATCTCCTCTTCAGTTGTAAATGAGTAACTCTTGGTTGTAAATAAGTAAATTCACTCGTTCCACCAAACTCTTTTCAAATGTACAAACATGAGTTGCCATAGCGTAAAGTTTTTCAGAGGTATTCAGGGTATAGTTATGGTTGCTAGGCTATGAAGGACCAACTGGGTGAACCAGTCCATTCCAGCGCAACCCTGAGGCAGACCAGTGCTGCATCACTAGTAAGTTAAGAATATCAAAGACAGAAGCTCACCGATTGTGGGTGAAGCAGCTAAACAATGATACATACATACATACATACATACATCATCTAAACCGCTTATCCTTCTGGGTCGCGGTGGGGTGCTGGAGCCTATCCCAACTGTCAAAAGCTGCTAAACAGTGATGTTTCCCTCAATTTGTATTTGAGAGTTAATTTTTCATAACAGACAGCATAACGTCATACGTTTATTTTCAGGGAGCCCCCAGAATTTTGAATTTGAGACATTCAGGGGTCCCAAGAGGTTTCACTCCTTGGAGTCATGCCCCAGTGCAAGCTCTAGGGTGTGTGTGTGTGTGTTTGTGTGTGTGTGTGTGTGTGTGTGTGTGTGAACATCAGATTGACTCTTATGCTCAAAGTGAGAATATTTATTGTTAGTAGCCAAAAATGAGTCCTAATTGGAGCCATTTTCTGAATAAAGCAGTAATTCTGGTGGAGTAAGATTCTCTCATGAAACTAGCTGGAAAACATCCAAATTAAATTGAATTTGAGCATAATTTACATTAACCACTTTTGCACTCTTCAGCTCGATCAGTACAGCACTGATGTAAGGTTATTTCAACATGTAGAAAACATGCTAGCGAATAACAGATATGCTGTAAAAAAGTACACTGGGATGTAAAAAGCAGGCCACAGTGGACTGATGCAGAGGGCATAGGCGGGGATAGTGAGTTTAGTTCTTAAGTGATTTACTGGCATTTGTGTCTCCTGTGAAACTGGCTGACAATCAAAAAGCCAAGAGAGAGAAGTGTTGAGAAAAGCTGATTTCTCTGTCCAGAGGGAGAGGCCATTAGGGAAGTGATCAGGTGGTTGGAGCCTTGTGCCTCTTTTCTTCTCCATTACTGAAGTGCTCTCCAGCTCGCCCCTCCTTTTTTAGCCCTCTTTCTGTAGCCTTCGCTATAAACAGAACGCTCAAGTTCAACCTTATATTTACAGCAGCCGCAGTGCTCAGAGGTGCTGTAACAAACAGAAACAGGGTTCAGTCTCTTTATTAAGAGAGCACACAGTGGTGTAATCTAGCCTGAAGTTGTGAAGTCTAGTGTGAACCAGCTGTTAGCAAGACTAACCAAGCTAGCACTTAGAAACATAACTAAAATACTTGGTATATGAATATCTATGTAGACTTACATAGACATTCACTGCAATTGTCTATGTGACTCACATTTGTAGAACATGTCTTTTTCAATTTGTTAACCATCTTTGTGAGAAATAAGGGGTTTAATTTTCACTGTTGTTCAGAATTTCCCTCTGCGGCCTTCTCTATAAACAGAACGCTGAACTTTAGCCTGATATTTACAACAGCTGCAGTACTTTACAGGTGCTGTAACTAAAATAATGAGATTCTGTCCTTGTATCATGAGTGTATGCAGCAGTGTGAGCAAAATTATCCAACCTAACATACAGCAAGATAATTGAAACACTTAGCTAGCTACACAAATTTGCATGTACAGTTATATTACTTTACAGTATCAGCACCCTAACAGTAATTCATTGCAATGCCCATGTGACTCTTCAGAACTGACACTCAGTATTAATTGATGCTTTGCTTCTTGGGTCAAACATTTGTATGACAATAACAGACAAATATATATAACTGGGCATTTTAAGTAAGCATATCTAGCAAGGCTAGCCAAGCTAGCACACATTGCTACACTTATTTAGCCAGATAAATTTACATAGATGTTCACTGTAATGTCCTTGTGACTCATTTTAGTAGAACATTTTAACCTCTTAAAGGCCAGGTCCTGCCAGTGGGCCCAAAAGTCATACACACTTCTACAACCTAAGAGCAACTCATCCAGTTTGCACTGAAGTCCCTGTAGTTACTGAATAATAGGTCTTAGTATGAAATAAGCCGGGGATTTTAAGGGTTTACCTTTTCTCATTCTGTTAACCATCCATACAGAAATCTAATATATGGTCATAAATCTACATAAATCATAACAAGTCAGGTATATATTTTCAAAATATATGTACAAAAATATGTTTCACATATTGGACATATATGCAATACATATGAATCATCTGTACCACTTTAGAATAAGACTACCCTTATAAGCGGTTTATGAATGGTTTTAAAATAAGTGTATTAATGGCTATTAATTAGGTCAGAAA